AAAAAGACAAAAGAAACAAAGAGTAGAAAGCCATGCTTCGCTCAGCAATATGAATAAATTCATTAAGTCAATAATATAGAAAAATGAAAGAAAACCACTTCTGACAGTGAGGACAACGGGAAGAGTCAATCTTCTTACCAATTTATTTCAGATCATGATAACTGATTAATGATGAACGAACAAGTTATCTCTTTTTAACGACCTAAGAGATATCTGCTAATTGCAATTTGTCCAGTTTCGAAATGAAATTATTTCAATACTAATCTGCAAAATTTTTGTTATTATTTCTATAATAGTCATTCTGTATCCATTCAATAGTCTAAGCTGTACATTTGTGTCTCCAATCTGTGATTTGAATTAATTGCAATAGAATTATTGCAAAGACTGTTTATTAGAATTTCTCTATCTCTAACGTTATTATCATGGATAAGAATACTCGAAGAAAGAATTCGTAGCGTGCTTTAGTCGATTATTGAATTCGTAATAGTTCTGTAGGTACCTAGAATAAACGTGCCTACTTTTGAAAAAGATATCATTTCCCTTAAGTGGACACTTAGCAAAACTATGAAATGAATCCATGCAGAGAACTTTAAAAACTTTAGGACGTGCATGTTGGTTTATCTCTTGGTGCATGAAGTTGTTCATTTCACAGTTATAAACGATCCAAAATTTATGAATTGCTCTTTTTGGTTCTAAAAATTTTTCGAATCGATAAAAACCAGCAAAAAACCGTTGATTTATTATGTCATTTTTACCGATTGAGAGCAGTGATTTCAAAAAACCTCGTTTTTCTGTTTTCGCTCCAACTTTTATGATTCTTCGAAGAGAAATACTGAAGCCTAGTTTTTCCAATTTTTGTTGATTCCCGAAAGCCTTATATGTGAGGCTTCTTTGACGCTGAAAAAAGAATCATACTGCCGAAAGCTGATCCTAAAATTTCGATTCTTAAACTTTTTCCACTCATACTCTACAGACGAACATATCACTTTTCTATAAATTATAATTCTAACTGAAGTCTGATCTCTGACAAAATATCAGTACATTTAATGAAGAAGTTTATTAGTTCATGTAATAATAGGTTTCGAAGCAACCCTACTTTCCTGATTGCTTCTTGAATTTTTAGAAATATCCCGTTTTTCCTGCTTTCGACTGAAAAACTTGATTTTGTCCCGATATTTCGCGATCTATGGTCGTAGGACTATGTCTACATGATTATGACATGTGCTGTATTATCTAAGTCAAGAAATGCGAACCATTTTCAATCGTAAATCTCGGAAAAATGGTGAACACTTAGAAGCAGAAATCTGGTGATATGATATGGTGGCTGGCTCTGCGACGGTACGACCGGAACTAAAAGAATCCGGCTGCCAGAATCAGTTACCTGGTATATTTAATCTATTTTGAAGGTTTCTATTAAAATAGTTGTAGAATATTTTCCACCAAGAAAGAAAGATATAATACCCATATTGTATTTGTTTCAACTATTTATTTATTTTTTTTGTATGGTTTCATAATCGTTTTTAACTAGTTTTCATCATTTTCAACTCATTGATGTTTCAAAGCAACTAATTTTACATTGACAACTCTTATTGGTGTCACGTGGATCAAAGAAGAAGGACAATTCTCGCTTGCTGTTGATATCAAACATTTTCATCGTTTTGAATCAAATTTTTAAAATCAAATATTATCGCTTTCATTTTTGAAAACTAAACATAGCTTTAGCAAACTATCCTGTGCGACTTTTGAAATTTTTTTATTCTTCAATTTTATTTCTGCATACCTCATTAAGTTTTAAGTTCTCTCCTGATATAATCCTTAATTCATGATTTAAAGCACGTTGTCATTAATGAAGCCAATTGTTACGAATTAAGCTGTATTTATGAAAAACTTCTTGAAAAGATTTACGCATATGTCATGTTCAAAGCAGGGTTGGAACCGGTAAGAAAAAGATAAAACGGTCTGGTCCGGTCCGGCCGGTTGTTAATCATTTCTGAACCGGTGAAATCCCGGCAAACCGGTCAATATCCGGTCAAGCTTACCGCTTTAAAATGGTTCCAAACATCCGAAAGTACGATGGAAATTGATAAAGTTATTTCTAGTTGTAAATTGAATTATCTAATATTTAAATAACACGGTTGAAACAATATGATTTAGCTCCTTGTATCATACGTACAGAAAACTGAAATCGGCCTAGGAATAGTTTTTTTTATAAGCATATCTTAGAAAATTTCAATATTCGTACTTGAGAAAAGATTATGTGACTTTTTATGAAACTTTTAGAAAAGATATGCATAATCTTTATAATCATGAAGTATCATCATTTTTTCTAGGGATGCACCAATTCCTAGAGCATGATATGAAAGATGACAATTTTTTCTGTCAAAAGTGTAACTGGCTTTCCATTGTTTGCATCAGTTATGATCAACTTTTTTTGCTCTACCTGAAACTGTGATCGAGATTTCCGAAATAAAAAATAAAGGTCATGGAATTGGTCTGGAATTGATCGAAAATTCGAATTTCGAACTTTTTTTGACCGATTCCAGACCAATTCCGTAACCTTTACTTTTTATTTCAGAAATTTCGATCACAGTTTCAGATAGAGCTAAAAAAAACTGAATACAATTGACATACAGTATCATCGTATACTCTGCAGCTGGGCAAAACTGGAAGTATGGTATTTTATGCAGCATAAACCAATTCCGACCAATTCCTAGAATTTCTCAATGAAAATCAAAATAGATTTCGTCTTACGAATTACGAGACTTTCGATAATTCTTTATGCCAGTTGTGTTCAGTTTTGAATGCTCTTTATGAATCTGGTGATGGATTTTATCCCAAGGAAAGCACGAGCCTCAAAATCAGTTGGAATTGGTCTGGAATCGGTCGAAAAAAAGTTCAAAATTCGAATTTTCGACCAATTCCAGACCAATTCCATGACCTTTATTTTTTATTTCGGAAATCTCGATCACAGTTTCAGGTAGAGCAAAAAAAGTTGATCATAACTGATGTAAACAATGGAAAGCCAGTTACACTCTTAACAGAAAAAATTGCCATCTTTCATATCATGCTTTAGGAATTGGTGCATCCCTAATTTTTTTAAAAGGATATTAAGATTTTCCTAACTGATTTATATAGTACTGCCTGGTCTATTTCAAAACTGATAAAACATATGCCTAATTGTCTTCGTGTCTATTATAGTATTACAATCATCGCGATAAATATCGATTATAAACTGAACAAAATTTTTAATATTGGCACTATCGAAAGACTTTCTGGACATATATGTATAATGATGGAGAATTTATTCTACTTCATAGCAAAATATATAGTTCTTCTTATCGAATAAGAGCTAAGTAAAGATAATATTTTTTAAACTTAAACCGGTAAATTTCCGATATTTACCGACCCGGTTGACTTTCTAAACCGGTCCGGACCGGTTCAAACGCTGGTTCAAAGAGGTAATTATATGCAAGGTGTAAAAAGTGAGACTTCAGCACTTTGAAGTAAGAGTAAAGTATCGTACTTCTGACTACTCAAGTATCGCTTTATCTTCCTTGGGTATATGATAATTTTCAAAGTTGTACTTACTAGTTGACTAAAACTATCTTTAATTTTTAAAGATAATAATTATAATATTTGGTACACAAAATAGACCAATCTCAATAGAATTTTACGACAATTTTAAAAAATTTGATTCGAAACTATGCAAGCGCCTAGGAAATATCGACGAAAAGTAAAAGGACAATAGTAATGCCTACAGTTAAATTTAATATACAATATGTTAGTTTTGTTATTAATAAATTTGTAAGAGCCGGTATTGAGTAATAAGTATGGCGTGAGTAACTTTTATAGGAGTAAGTATCACGAATTTATCATTACTCTATCAACTTATATGTAGAGTTTGTCTTGTACGGAAATAATAAAATAGATTTTACAATATTCTAATTTTTATTTCATCTTCTGATTTTGCTTACAAGATAGTTCTGCTTGTTTTCATAATTTCAACACATAGGCTAGTGTGCTCCATCTAATAGTTTTGATAGCGCTTGGTCGGAAGTAAGAAAATGTTATTATTAAAGAAAGAAAAAACAGTGATGACAAACAAAAAAAAGAAGAAAACCATGTTCTGGAAAAGAAAATTAGCTTTTGTTCTGATAAAAGTACTGAAACCTTTTCTAAAAAGCGTTTTATCAGGAAGAAAATTGAATTCAATATTTTGATTCATTCTATTACTTTCTACTACAATTTCGAATATTTTCAATCATTGATATTGAATTCTAGATTTTGTTTTTAAAGTTTTATCTTTTTCTTTTGCTATTTATATTCGATCATTTTAATTCCAAAATTTACCCATTGCTTTAATTTACTCTTAATTAATTTTATTCACTAATTTTCAAATTTCGAAACAAACGCGATTAATTAATTATTAATTATTTGAGTAATTTACCTACTAGTGTACACTTAAATCATAGCATTTTCGACGTAGTTGTCTCTTCATTCATGACCAATAACATTCTTGTTTATCAAATCATGAACGGTAAAGTCTGTATGTATTTTTTTTTAAAACATTTTCGTCAACACTAGACAAAAAAAAAGGGAGATAATTTTATTTACGAAGAAAAATATTCGTTAATTCGATTATGAACATATATATATGGTGACTGTAAAGAAAATATTTTATATTTGAGTAACTCAAATCTTATCGCTTTCCCTGTTTTTCAATTTACATTATTCAATTATTTTTGTAATATAACTAAAATAAACTTATTCACCAAATCTCTTTCATTGATAAAATAGATAGAAAATTATTTTTCCATTGAGTCAATTTGATCAGTCATTTTCTTTTTTAATTTGAATTCTCAAACCAAATGTAAATAAATAAATGCTTATTTGACAACAAACTTTCTTTTTAAGTTTTTTTTTAAATTTTTATTAATACATATTCAAATTCAAAGCATAAAATCGATACTTCATAGAGTGTTAAATCACGAAAAACTATTTTAACCGTATTTAAATGGATTTATTTGATTTGGATCTTCTTTATAATTATTTCCTAAATAAATCAAATTAATATTTACATATTGTAATTTAAAAAAAAAAAGTACTAACGATATGCACAAAGAGCTGGTGTTAATGCGAGTGGTCGAAATTGTAGGCGATAATCGCATAAAGGAGAATTCCGTTTATATGGCCATGAATTTAGTTCTACAGGTCGTCTAAGAAAACGTTGGATTTGAACATCATCCATAAAGCTGTTTATTTTATCATCATCAATTTGATGTAGAGATGAAAAAGGCATAGCAACTGTACTAACCAATGTAATTACTGCAAAGAATAATATTAACATAGTAGATAAATACATTTTTTTCAAATTCGTCGTTACAATTTGAATTTCCTTTGACTAATACTCGTACACAATTTGCTATACTAAATTGAATTAAACCTCTGTCTATATAAGACTCCTTAAGCGTAGGTGTTTAAGATAAAACATTACAATTTCATTTTGATGAGGTTCATCAATTATTCTAATGTCTTTTTTTTTCTTGATTGTTAAATTTCTTATCATATCATTTGTCTTCTATTTAACATAGACACAATTTGCATGTCATTTATATTTATTAAAAAGCAAAAAGAAAAAAGTATATTTGCTTATTGTCTATTATAATCATGATCATCCCCATCGCATAAGATTATCACCAGCAGATTTTTCTTCGGATTCAACAGTTGGTTTCATATGTTGATAAGTTGATACACGAAACCATGAATTACGACTTGTTCGAGGATAATTTGAAAGTGATCGTTGAAAATGATGAATCGATGCATGTTTTGGATAGATCATTAATGGAATATAATCATTTTCATCGCTAATCAATTGACCGTAATATGGTTTATCATTTTCTTCATAAGAAGAAATATACAATGGACGATATATTGGTGAGCATGATATAAATAATATTGATGAAATTAGAAAACTCAATGAAAATACGAAGAATGTTGACATCTTAATGACAAAAAAGAAATGAAGTTGTATTGTTATTTTACAGAAATGAAAATATATAAAGTAGAAGTAAAATAAAAATAAAAAGTAATTGAGGATAATCACTTAAGTACAAACTTATGTTCTTAACTTCAAAAAAAAAAAAGGTTTTTGTTTTCCTATATTACTTTATTGATCAATATACACGCACGAATCCAAAAAGTTATAATCAAGGGAAAGATTACCTTGAATATTTACGACATATTTTTATCAAATAGACTGACATTTTGTTTTACTATTGATAAAGCAGTATTCATAGTTCATGTTAATAAGAAAAACAATTTAAAAAGAAATATATATATATATATTCTCTTGAAGTGTTACTTTTAACATAACAAAAAACTTACAATCTTCGACTAATTATGAAAACAAACAATATTTTGTAAGTAATTCATTTGATAACTTCAATTGTTCATGATTAGAACTTTGAGATTACATCAATTAATAAATACATATACTTATTATAGGAATTTTGAATTAAACAACAAGTTTCTAAAGTATTGATTGAAAAATATTACAAGTTATTTATCGATATTCATAGCGATAAATATAATTGGGTCTTTTTTTCTCAAGAAAATAACTTTTTGATCACCCTATGGTATATTGATTTTCTATGGAAATCAATGACTATTTATGTGTCTCTGAAGTATGATTATTATAGAATTGAAATTTCGTGTATTGTACTCCTAAAGAATTATTTATATAGATTGTCTTTTCTCTGTTGAACTATATATTACAACTTGATAAAGCTTTTTTCCCTATGGTTACATAGCTGTTTCATGATTTCCCATTAGAGTGTCTTTTTCTTTCTATAGAAGATATTTAATTAAATACTAAAACAATTCAATGGAATTATAAATGTTTGATTTTATGAAAAAAAGAAACATTATTTTTATAAATATCCACATGAATAATTAAAAATACAAGTTAGCTAAAAGATTTATTATAACAAAGTTAATTTAAAATAAAATCAGAAAAAGAGTTGATTTATACACCTACAAACTAACGTATTTATATGTCACAATGATTTTTATTTATTCTTATGTACTTACCAGATTCCTTTTTTTTAGTAAAATAAACTATTTGAATTATACTAAAAGATAATACTATTACCTTATAGAATATCTTAGTATGTGAAGGTTTTACGAGATGTTCTAATATAATCTGTTCGAAAAATTTAATATGAAGTCGAGATATATACGAATTAAGTATTCTATAGTTAACTAGAGAATAAACATTCTAAATGACTCTTATATTTTACTAGCATCAAATGTTTCTATGTTGATTATTTTTCTTATTATTAAATACATCGTTCAAGCTAAGAGCTATACAGAAATAAATCGAACATGGTTGATCAAGTTACAATTGATATTTAAAAAAAAAAATTGAAGATGACGTTTTTTGGAATATTGAGATAAATTACTGAAGATTGTTTTTTTTTAATCAATAAAAGATAAGAAACTATGATTAATTAAATGATACACTTTATAGACAATACATAATTATTTTCGATTTTGAAAAGACATATAAAAAAATCTTTTGTATCGATATCTGATCAATTATTATCGAATGTTTAAACTTAACGCAATCAAAATTAATTGGTCAATGTCATACAAACACGTTATATTCATGAATTCTTATTTGCAATATACTTCTATCAAGAAAAGATACTAACAAACATAGTTCTGACATAACATCTAATTAAATACGTTAAAGAATCAGTATCAACGAAAGAATTCTATAAATGCTCACTAATAACCAATGACAAAATTTGAACTTTACGTAATTAGATGAACCACAGCAGAAAAGCAATGACATCCATTCACACACCTTTAAACTACCTCATAAGTCTATTTCTCTTCATGATTTAGCTGTTTTTCATGTATATCTGAGAATTTTGATGTGATTATCAAGGTGTTTGTAGATGCTAGAGGATGTTACCACTGTAATTAATGTAGAAGATAAATTGTTAATGAGAATAGACTTACAGTGTAGTTTATAACTATTCGTTTTTTGTGCTAGAATTTTTCAGTTTTAACTTAACTTCATTTAATTTTGTCACGTTCATAAATTATTAAATGTTAGCGGATGTTCATAGAGTTATGTTGCTGAGCATGATTTTCTGCCCTATTCATTTAGATGTTTGTCAGAAATACGTGTGTCAGTAGTTGTTCTTCATAAGCATAAAAATGTATTTTAATATTTATAATGACATTTTCTTTTCTTACTGATGAAACTCAAGAATAAAAAATTTATAGTTAATTGTAAATGAAGAAAATTATTTATAAAAAATAGCTGAATTATTAAATGACATATTATTCAATATTGGTGAGTGGAGAAATAATACATCATTCATAATGCCTTTATTCTTAATATTAGAATTATTTTTACGAATATCTGTAGATCTTAAAAAAGAGAATAGATAATTTTTTTTCCACATCTTTCGCTATTTGCATATAAAATTATGACATAAAGCCTAAAATATTCTGTTTAAAATTTAATGTTTTTTCTTGGTCTAACAATAAGCAAGAAGATTTTTACAAAAGATAATCTTTTAAATAGTTTATCAAAGGAAAAGAAAAAGAAAAGAAATATGTTGTTTCATTTTTATAATGCAATAATTCATTGTAGATCATGGGTCATCTCGATATCCTTGAAAGTGTCGTTTTTATTTTAATAAATTAATTTATGAATATCAACTTTGAATCATTTATTGAAAGCTTATATGATGAAACCTTGAATAAAACAAACTCTTTTTTAATTATAAAAAAAATATCATGCAGCTACATTTTTTCATGAACGGAAGTTCTATTTTTAGAATTCATCTAGTTATTACTTACTCATAGAAATTAAAATTCATGAAATGGTTCATATAATCATGTAATTCTCTTCATTATTTCCACATTTTAATGATCTATTAATACAAAAAAAGATGTGACTAATAAATATCACTACGAATTCCTAAAGAGTTAACCAATTTTTTTCTTTTTTGAATGCAGTACTTCTTGACTATTTCTTCTTGCCGAGTATAAATCCGTCTATACTAAAAATCAAAATAAAAAAAACGAAGGACAAAAAATTCAAAATAAATGTCCACTGTTCAACATTCAATCTGAGCCCACAAATGATTTCAAGCAGTAGAGAACAATTCAAGAGACAAAACATTTTAAATTGAATAAAATAATATGTTAAGTTTAACTAATTGTTGATTTAAATTTATATCTTCATCATAACAAAGATTTTTGAATTTAATTATTTTTTTGATTGAAAAATCGTATCATCATCTCTTATGAAGGTTTTATGTCCAACAGATAAAAGTACTGTTGATATCAATAGATCAATGATATTTCACACAGTATTTATCGATATAGTTTCTACATCAACACTATAATATTTTTTGAATAATGTACTCTTGCAAGATTCAATCAACATAATAGTTCAAAAACAATGTAAATAAAAAAAATACAAATAGACGATATATTTCTCATAGATAACAATTAGAATAGAAGTCATACTTTATTATTAAAAATTCATTTGTTATATCTATATACAGTATAAGAAAAAACAGAATTATAACTATTTGTTTTGGGTATTCGAAGTACAAGTTCAAATTTTATTTAATTCCAATTGAGTAGTTCAAAAAAGATCGACTTCAAATGATTCTAAATATCATCGATTTACGTACAATTAAGTATTTTGGTGTTTTTTTTGTTAAAATAAAATACCTATTCGATAACACTACTAGGAGCCTTCGCTTTCTGTAAAGCGCTGAAGGACAACATAGACATTGGCATCCCCTATTAATATTCTCGTTACTACATGTATATGCTGTATAGTACAAGTTTTTTTTTCTGTCTGCTCTCTTTTTTTTTGGTGTATGTCTATTATACAACCTATGAGCGAGCGAATAGATGTGTGAATATCAACAGAAAGAAAGGATAAGTGTACAGTTTATGCAATAGAATACGACAGTATTGGCGACCGCCCCATAGATAACAGAATTAATTGTGTTTTCTGGAAATTTTTCTATAGGATAAAAGAAGTAGAGAACAAGGACGCTAGATTTCTTGGTTAGACTGATAAGTAAACATAGATATACTGACATGGAATAGATCTGGAAGATATATGATGATAAAGCCATCCTCTCCTTCTTTTTTTTCTTCTCGTTATATACAACTGTACGGTTGCCATTTGTACTAGCTTTTTTTCTCTCTCTCTCTCTCTCGCTTTCTCTATATTGGTTAGAAACTTGTCAATATATGGTCGTCGTCGTTCTCGTATATAACCGCAAACGGACGTAATAATATTTGAAGCCAGTATCAGTGAGAAAGAACGAGGAAAGAACAAACAACATATCAGCTCGTTTAACATTAATAATACATGATGGCTACTCTTCATCTTGTAACATTACTTGTTTTAACTATCTTTTGTTCAATAGTTATAGCACAAAATAAACCATGTGAATCATGCGATTCAAGCAAATGTCCATTGGTAATTCGAGAATGACATTGTCTAGGATTTTTTTTTGT